TTTCTATCAAGCTATTTTCAAGAATATGTCGACTTTTATGTGGCGCCAGTGCATCAAGAACATAACCGCAAGCTCAACACGTAAATATTTACGTTGATGTGTTATTAATTGTATGCTCTTCATCAGCCACTGACTTTTCTTCAATCGCTGAACATTGTTGACAATATTCATCTGTGATTGTGTGATTTTGTGTGCAATTCTTTGTGAACTTTGTGTTTGTCGCTCTGACACTGGGCAACATAACCCCTAAATCCCATGTGTCTGGCTGCCGTGCACTACTTTGCGGGGACTACTTTCCTCTCCCCCTGCAGCCGCACCACGTGGCGGCCGAAGCACTACACCACACTCAGCGGATCTTCTCATCAGTCCGGGTGGCCAAGCGTGTTTAGGCGCGCTCTCATACCCTGGCGACCCGAGTTCGATCCCCGGCGGGAGCGTCAGCTTTTCGTCGTGCTTTTCACTGCTCGACCGGGTGGCCTCTTTCTGGCTCCCAACCAGTCGTCGATGAGGAGAATCCTGCCAACTTCACACACTCGGCTTCAACTGAAGCCCGTGGCGCAACAGGTTTCGAGCTGGCTTCTCGTGCTGTGGTCAGCGGTTCGACTCCAGCCCCCTGCGCCTACAGCAGCGGGGAAGTAAACAGGTTGTGGCAACATGAGGACACTCTTCGTGGAGGTGCCCCTTGGCAACCGTTTTTTGTGCCCCCCACCCTGCCCACTAGCAAAGCCCGGGAAGTCGCCTCACCGCTACAAAAACCTGAAAAATCTGCGGAAGCACGCCCGCGACCACCATCAAGTAACATGTGTGACGTACGTGTGCCGGGTATGCAGACGGACCGACAAGGAGACAGAGACGTGCGTCAACCATTCCAAAAACCACCTTCTGCAGGCACATGGCCTCGCCTGGGAGGACACCGGGCTGCCCCGAACGCGCTGCTCCTGGCGCCTGGCAGACATCGCCGGGCAATCTCCACCACCCAGCCCGGAGAGCCCATTGCCGGACCAGCCAGCCCCTGGAAGTCAGGCAGCCACTCCGTCACCAGTGCCTGGCGGGTTGCCGCGCGCCTCCTCGCAGGCGTCGGGCCCAAGGACGAGCCCGGTAGCCTACGTAAGGCCGTTCCGTCGCTCTCCAGGCGCACCCCCACCTCCACCGGAGCAGAACAAATCACCACCGGCTGCCCTGCAGGTTCCTCCCGCAGCTGCAGGTGTGACACCTATCCAGCTCACTCCAGAGGTGCGCCAACAACTAAGCGCTGGATTCGCTGCTATGATGCGCAGGGTCCAGGCGGGTGCACCACCTGCAGCAACGCCTCATAGAGCACCACCAGGCCTTCAGTCCGCAACATCTGTGGCGTCCCGGCTGCGCCGCGCACACCTTGGTGCACGTACGCCGCCTGCTCTGCGCCGCTCACCCATCATCAGGAGCGTGCTGCTGCCTTCACCTCCACCCATCCAGGCAGCACCAGTCAGCAGGACGGTGCAGTTTACGCCACCTGCAGGCGTAGCTCCTCACACCACCAGCTCCCCGGGACGCTCCTCGCCGGGCTGCAGCCAGCAGCCCGAGCCAACCCACGTAAGTCCACCACCTTCCGGCTTTGGCTTCATTCCGGAGTCACCGTCGGAGAGGCCACCAAACCGATTCCAGGCCCAGTGGGTTGGGAAGCTCAAGGCGTGTCAAAACTTCGCCGAGCTTGAGGACGTCATCGGGGAGCTCACCAAGGTGCTGCAACCACCACCTAAGCCCCAGCGCCCAGGCGGCCGTCAGCGGGGCAGGGGGGGCCGTGACCCCAAACAGGAGGCAAAGCGCATTCAGCAGCTGTACAAAAAGAATAGAAAGAAGGCTATGCGGGACATTCGCCAGTTGGACTCCCCACTTTGCGAGGTCCCTGGCGACGAGGTCGCAAACCACTTTGAGGAGGTATTTAAAGAGACCATCACCGTGCTGCCGCCTCCTCCTGCCTCTGCTGTTCTACCCCCCACTCAGCGCCAGGATCCAGTGCTAGTTGCCAACATCGACAGAGAAACCATCACTGCACGCCTAGCACGTTGCAGCGAAACATCCCCTGGCGCTGATGGGATAACATACTCAACAATCAAGCGCAAGGATCCCGGTGCTCACATGCTTGCTGAGGTCTACAATGCCTGCCTGCGTTACAAGCGCATCCCAGCAGCATGGAAAGAGTCTCGCACCATACTACTACACAAGAAGGGGGACAAGGGCGATCTCGGCAACTGGCGCCCGATTGCCCTGTCCTCCTCTCTCTACAAGATCTACTCCGGGATCCTTGCAGACCGCCTGGGCCGCTGGGCAGCTTCCACGGGAGCTGTATCCAAAGTCCAGAAGGGTTTCATGCCGGCGGAGGGGTGTCTCGAGCACAACTTCATCGTTCAGCAAGCTATTGATGAAGTGAGGGAGTCCGGCCGCGAACTTACCATCACGTGGCTGGACCTACGGAACGCCTTTGGGTCCGTTCCCCACACAGTTATACTCGAGATGCTCCGTCGGCACGGCGTCCACGAACACCTAGTAGACGTCGTGCAAGATGCATACCAAGGCTGCACGACAAACTTCTCAACAGCGTCTGGCGAGACCCGCTTCGTGCCAATGGCTTCAGGAGTTAAGCAAGGTGACCCCCTGAGCCCCATCACCTTCAACCTGGCACTGGAGGTGCTCATCAGAAGCCTCCTCGTCCTCGCCAGACTGCACGGGTTCCTACTCCACGACGAGCCCATCGTGTGCCTTGGTTATGCGGACGACCTGGTCGTCACAGCCAAGAGTGCCGCCGACATGCAGACCCTTCTGGACATCATTGGGGAGGTGGCCACTTGGACCGGCCTCCAGTTCAATGCGGCCAAGTGCGCCACCCTCCACATTGTAAAGAAGAAGGCCCAGCTGGAGACGCTGACCTTCATCCAGGGCGCACCCATCCCGACCTTGGCCGACGGGGATGCCTACCAACACCTTGGCGTCCCCACGGGGCTGCGAGTAGACCAGACCCCGGAGGCGACCATCGAGGCCATGCTTCATGACATCGGGAGCATCGAGCGCAGCCAACTGTCTGACTGGCAGAAGCTGGACGCGCTCCGCACCTTCGTGGTCCCTCAAGCACAATTCAGCCTCATGACGGCCAAGGTCCAGAAGCAGGCCTTCGCGGAGCTCGACCGGGAGGTGAAGCGCGTTGCTAAGGCAGCCCTTCACCTTCCCCAACGCGCCAGCGCCGAGCCCGTGTACTTGCCGCCGCACAAGGGGGGTGCCAACCTACTCCCCCTTGGTGACCTCGCAGACATCGGGGCCATCGTGCACGCCTTCAAGGTACTCACCTGCCCGGACCCCCTCGTGAGGAAAATCGCCGAGACCAGCGCAAAGAAAACCGTCAGGCGCCTGCTCGGACACCATCCATCCAACCCCGAGCTGGCGGAGGTCCTCTCAGGGGGCCCAACACCAAGAGGCGTGCACAACGCATCAAACATCTGGACGGCGGCAAGAAACGCTTCGCGGAGGCTAAGCAACAAAATACATGGCTTCAAATGGGGATGGAGTGCGTCGCTGGAGCGCCTCGAAGTCCACGTGCCCTTCCCCGGCAAGCCGGTGGAGAGCGCCATCGTAGACTCAGAATCCCGCAAACTTCTCCACCACAAGCTGCGGCAAGGCCTTCAACACCATCACCTTGTCTCCCTCGTCAGCAAGCCCGACCAGGGGAAGGTCTATGCCGCAACCTGTCGCGACCCCGCCTCCAACCACTTCTACGGCTCGGGTCAGCAGATGCGGTTCTGCGATTGGCGCTTCATCCACCGGGCCCGCCTAGGGGTGTTGCCACTCAACGGGTGCGTCCGCGGCATCGCGGGGCGTGACAGATCCTGTCGTGCCTGCGGCCACCCCGACGAAACCACAGCGCACGTCCTCAACCACTGCTTCGCCAGACACTCGCTCGCCATCAACAACCGGCACCGGGCCATCCTCAAGGACGTCCTGGAGGTCATGAGCGAGGACGTGCGCCGCAACACCCGAGTAGAGAGGTGCATCGCCGGGTCGGGTAGCGCTGACAAACCGGACATTGTCGTCATGAACAACACCACTAAGACGGCACTCATCGTTGATATCTGCTGTCCGTTTGAAAAGCGCTACCACGCCCTAGAAGTGGCCCGGCGATACAAGGAGGACAAATATGAACATCTCGTCCAGCACCTCCGGGGCCGGGGCTTCGAGGCGTCGGCTGCCGCCATCGTGGTCGGCAGCCTGGGATCATGGGACCCAGCTAACAACCCCATTCTCACCAAGCTGGGGGTCCCAAAGTTCCGCCAGAACAAACTCAAGAGGAAGTGCGTGTCAGACGCCATCCGGTGGTCTAGGGACATTTACGTTGAGCACGTAACTCAGCAACGTCAATTTACCCAAAATGTCACCCTACCAGCCTGCTAGCCACCGGTGGCATCGTCACCCTTCATTCTGGCGGACAAGCCCTGCAGTCCTTTAGATGCGTGGTGCCTAGCTGGCAGTTCACCCTGTGGTGCCTTCGCTGACTCATAGAAGACTGCAATCAAGAGCTTAACGCAGAAAAGAGCAGCAGGCACCACACGGCGGTAACAAGTCCCCGGCGTTGCGGCGCGGAGGGGGGCCACTGTTACTGCTGACCAGCTGGGCACTAAATGGGCGTGTGGGGGGCTCCGTCTGAGGCTAAGTGTCTCGATCGCCTTGTGCATCGTATACACTCCAGGCGTCCCCCCACCCAACCTAAGTTGGCATTAGCCAATTTAATCTAAATTCCATCTTTTTATATAACATTTCAATTTTTTCTTGTTAATATAAAGCACTTATGCTCAATCTCTATTATTTTGTTATCATTATTTGCAATGTTAATATAAATTAACCTGCTCGCTTTATTTGTTATTCAAATCATATTTATATTTCTACTACTTCTATTCACTTAACTAACTGCACTGTTAATATTAATTAACCTGCTACAATACTTGTTTATTTGCACTTCATGTGCTAACATTTTGCCTTATTGTACCCTGGTTCGCCAGGTTCATTCATATCAATTATGCTTCATATGCATTCATTTAATTATTAAGCTGCACTTCATGCGCAAACTTTCTGCCCTATTGTGCCCTGGTCCACCAGGCCTCATTTCTATTAATTATGCTCAATATGCATTTACTTTAATTTTTAACCTGCACATAATGTGCCTATTTTACGCTATTGCGCCATGCTTTACCATGCTCTATTTATATCTACTTCTCTTTACCTGCAAATGTTTTTAACTATTTTACCTGCACGCGATGTGCAAACATTAGGTATAAAGCCAACATTGTGGAGGCTTCATGCTAATCAGCCCAAAAAATACTTTAACTTGCTAATTTAACTGCACGCTCTTCACAAGAAGGGGTGCCCCTAATTTTGTAAATCTCTACCATTTTATTGCAATTAACATTTCTTTTCCTCAAATCTAGGTATCTAAATGTACTTATAAAGTGTATTTTCAACTATTTATCAAAACCTCTGTACTGAAAATTATGCAATAAAATGCTTTTAATACTGAACCACCGATGCCGCTGCAGGTCGAGTGCCTCGAGCGGCACCACTATCGAGCCAGGCCGCGGACCGTCGGGAGACGTCGCGGTCGCATCCGGTGGGGCGTGCGGGCGATCGCTTAGGTGATGTGGGGCGGCAAAAGAAAGAGGTGCGGCCAGGGGGCACCCGGGTTTGAACCGGGGACCTCTCGATCTGCAGTCGAATGCTCTACCACTGAGCTATA